TTGATCCTCTGCTAGGTTTTTGCCACATAGTCAAGGTATGAATTGTCAATAAAATAACTCTATTAATAAAATGTCTTATTCTTTAAAAACAATACTGTCTGGCCTGTGGCATTTTCTGGCATTTTGACCCTCAGAAGACAAATGTGCACTGTAAAGCCCCAGGAGGTGCAAATGGATGGACTGAGGGGGGCCCCCTAGGAGGGCACCTCACTCTCTCCTCCCTCCCTGATCCTCCATGTCTACGCCACCTGCTCTGAGTTTGCCAGGGAGTGCAACACCTTTTAAAAAAAAAATACTTCCCTCCAAGAACTACTCAATGATGCTGCTTTTTCCAAAACTGCCCTGAGAAACAAGTTGAATGTGCTGATGTGGAGAAGCCATGATTCCAAACCCAGTTGTGGTTAGTTAGAGCCAGATAAACTACCACACAAGGAGATGTGAGGGCTGAAAAGTCTTCTGCTTCCATCTTGTAAAAAGCTTTTAAGTTACACAGAAAATTCCCCCTAAGCCGAGGGCAGCGTGTCTCCACTTAGAAGCCATGCTTCCTTGTAAAGTACTTAGTGCTGAGGGGACAGACGTGACTGGAAGAGTCCCGGATAAAAGGCCTGCTGATGTATTTATATTTATTTAAAGAATTCTCAGGCTGTTCATGCAGAATAACTGAACTTGTGGTTTGCATATAATTTTGGGGGGACAAGGAGGGTGAAGATAGACAATGCATGCAGAAAGATATCTGAAAAGAATTTGCCATGTTTGGGTTTTTTTTTCTGTTCCCCCAATGATTTCAGTCAGGCTTCAGCATGCAGGGCTGTGGGTAGATATGTGCTAATATGAGAATGGGAGGAGACAGGGCCAAGGGTGTGATAAGTCAGCTGCAGGCTGGGATTGGCACCCCGGAAAATGGTCCAGTCCACGTGAAGACTTCAAAGAAGACCCCCTAACATCATCTGCTCCAGCCCCAGGCTCTTATTTATCAGCTGCCAGCAAACCCTGTGGCTGCCTGAAGAGCCAGGCAGATCCTGGGGGTGCTTGGGAGGGACTGAACAGGGTTCCCTGCACAGTCTATCTGCATCTCCAATTATCACATAAGGGTCTGAAAGCCGAGTTTTCACTTTGGAGCTGGCCCGGGGCTCAGGGAAGCTGCTGCACAGCCAGGAAGCCTGGAGCCTGAGGCTCTAGAAAGGAGCCTGTGCCCAGCTGATAACGCCAGTTTCAGTGCTGGGTCCACCTCCACAGCACCAGCCACGTAGCTCAGAGCCACTGCAAGAGGAGAGCCCCAGAAAGTGTCATATGTGCAGACATACACTTTTCTGGGGAGAAAATCCAGGCTTTCTCAGATTCCCAAAGGATCCTGACACCCCAAAAAGATAAAGAACCATTGTTCTTGGGTTTGGCGAATATAAGCAACTATTCATTGATCTTCTACTCTGTGCCAGCTCCTTGAAAATGTTATTTTACTTACTTATCCCAAAGCTCTTCTCCATTTTATACAGGAGAAAATTGAGGCAAGCTGGAACTCCACCCAGGTCTGGCAGATTTACCCATTGCAGGATCTCGGTGGGAACTTCCAGTTCAGAGGTGCTGTTTGAGACCCTAGTCATGCCTCTCTGCTGCTCCACCAGTGACTGGGGAAGTGGTTGGTGTCCCCAGGAGTGGCTAGTTTGGAGTTGGGGTCACAGGATGATCGGATTGGATGAGGCAGCCTGCTCACGCCCCAGCAGCACCACCCCAGCTACCCCTGGGTTTCTACCTAACCCGGCCACAATTCTGGGAAACATTGGCTTTCTCATGCAACCCAGAAAGGGACTACTTTGGGAAGGGGGGAGACACAGGAGGGGAATGTCTTTAAGCCCTGGCATGATGCCATCATGCTGCCCTCAAAAGCCACTGCATCCGCTGGCCTCATTTTCCTGTGAGTGCTTCTGTCTGGGTTAGAGTCCCACTCAGCCCTGCCTTACTCCCTTCTCCTAGATTTTTTTTTTTTTTTGGCAATTCCACCAAGGTCAAAGAGGATGCTCTGGTGGCTTGGTTGGGAGACCTGACTTCCAGCACCCACTCTGGTCCCTTTTATTACCCAGCGTGTCCTACGGGGGCTCCACTTGTGGAGCAGCCAGAGCAGCTGTCAGTGCTGGCCTCGAGACCCCACCCCTGTTAATTTCCAAGGTCTTTAGGGGTGATGTAGATTGAGCCCCAAGAGAAACGATGCTGTGTGCCTTCGCTCCCCACCCACCTTCCCATTTCCTGGGCATCTACCTGTGATGACCCCAGTGGACAGGGCCTCAGGGATGGCCTACGGAACTCCCCAAGGGCCTGGGTCAGCTCTGTCCTATTAACCATCCTTTCCTTTCAGGGCTTATGGAAGCCCGCCTTCCTCTCCCTGACCCCAAGAAAGGTCTTCTGAGGTTTTGGCAGATAAAGGGGGCACAAATTCTTTAACCCTCCTCCCGTAGAGGGTTGGGGTCTGCTCCCCTTCCCCTCTAGCCTGGGCTGGCCTGGGTGAGACTCTTTTGACCCAAAGAGTGACTCTCTGCTATCTGTGGACACTTGAAGTCCTGAGCTGCCCTGTAAGAAATGGAAGAAACCACGTGGAGAAGCTCCAAGACTACATGGAGAGGGGGAGGATCCAGCCTCCCAGCCATCCTCTCCAAGGCACCAGGCAGGTGAGAGCAGCCAGCTCAGACCTCCAGACCAGCCCAGGCTCCAGCTGAGAAATCCTGAGTGACCCCAGTGCACACCACATGGAGCAGAAGGTAAGCCCAGCCAAGCCCCGCCACAGTCCTGATCCACGTCAGGAGATACAATAAAATTCAACAAAAAAAATACAACAAAAATTCTCCATCCTGCTTTCATTCCACCAAGTCCAGCGTGTCCTCAGGGGTTCACATCCAGGGCACATTCCAACTACTTCTGAAGAGTGGGCATCTTGGCCCTGTGCTCTGAGGGCTGGGACATGGGAGGTCTCCAGAGGCTGGGAGATCTTCGCTGAAGCTGGAGCCTGGCTTCAGTTTCAATTTCGAACCCCAGAACCCAGACGAGAACAACAGGAAGTGCCCCCCCAGTCCCGCTGTCCTGGCCATCACATCCCCACCCCACACAGGCCTGTGGTCACCAGCCTGCGGATCGCTGGGGAGGGAAGAAGAAAGACTCAGAACGATTCTGACCTCACAGGCTTGTCACGAGATCAAATAAAGCCGCAAGTGTAGAACACCTGCCGGGGCCTGTCCACAGGTGGCCACGGGACACAGGGGCGTCCGGCCTGTCGTCTCTCAGGCCAGCTGTGGACAGCGAACACTCACCCTTCCATCCACAGAAGTCACAGAGCAAAAGTTGCAGGGAACCAGGAACCTCAGAAAGGAGAGAGGCTTCCTGGTAGTGAGCCTTTACTTTTTATTTGAAATTTTGTATCTGTTTTAAGTAGATAAAATGTTCACAGAGTTCAAAAGCCACAGACTATAAAAGGCTGTACATGTAAAATACACACCTCTCCCCCCTGTTTCCCTGCCCCACCTTCCCCCAGTGCGCACAGGAAACCACGTTTATCGGTGTCGGCACGTCCTCTCAGAGTTCTCTGTGCACGTGCAAACCACGTATATACGTATTCCTGCACCTCTTGGTTAAACAACAGGTAGCACGTTACACACTGTTCTCTACTTCTCTACCTTGCTGCTTTTTTTTTTCTTTTCGCACTTGAAACATGTATCTCGGAGCTCTTTGCTCCTTGGTGCATATGTGCTCTGTGCTCACATGTTCTTTTCGACAGCTGTGTAATATTCCACTGATGGCGACCCATCTTTATTTCATCAGCCCTTGTTGATGAAAGTCTCGTTTCCAGGAAATAACTGCCTGGGCATCATTTTGCGCAGTCTCTCTCTGCAGGATAAGCTCCCCCAAAAGGAATTTTGCACTTATTTCCTTGGATGGGACCACATGGCCCTCCATAGAGGCAGCGCCTATGTCCACAGGCTGGGGCTTTCGTAGCTGATGGCCAGAGCAGGCTCGGGGCTGTGGTCTGGGACATTTCCATTTTGGCCCACCTGACCCACAGGGGCCATTCACATACGGATAGTGGACTCACCTGTCACACTCCATGACTCGGTTACAGTCTGAGTTCTAAGAACCTGATCCCAGGGGCTGCTCTTTACTGCAAAGTGGTGCCTGTGGTTTATGAACTGTGGTTCCACCCAGGGGTTCTGGGGGGATCTTGGTGCTGGGACACCCCCCCCACTCCCACCCTACCTCTACTATATACAAACTGGTCGCCTGTTCCTCCTGCTGTCCTCTGAACAACATTAGTACGTGCAGGCCTAAAACTCAATTCATCCCTCTCCGCCACAAACCTGCCCCACCCCCAACTCAGTCACTCAGCCAGAAACCTGACTCACTCTCTCCCCCACCCTCTCGCTCCTTTCATCCCTCCCTCCTTCCCCCTCTCTCCATCTGTCTCTGTCCTTCTCTCTGTTTCTCTCTCAAACATGCACACACATCCCTGTCACCTCATCCTGTTGATTAAACTCTTAACTCTCTCTCTCGGATTCATTCACTTCCCTTGTCCCCTACGGTCACCACCCTGGTCCAGGCTGACTTTGTCTATCACTAGGCGACTAGGACACCCTCCCATACCACACACGCCACACCAAACCACACTGGCCCCCTTCCTTCTCCTCTGGCTTCTGGGGTTTCACACACACTGTTCCTCTTCTTAGAAATGTTCCCTTCACGCTTTGCCTGGTGAACTCCTGCTCATCCTTCAGGTGTCAGCTGCAATGTCACCTCTGAGGGTGAGGAGCGGCCTGGGTGGTAGACACCCTTGTCACAATTCTCATCACCCCGCATTGGAATGACTTTCTTGATGATTTTTTCCTCTTGATCTTGAGCTTCACAAGGGTGGAGACCTGTCAGCCTGGTTCACCCCTCGCCTTCAGTGCCTGGAGCATAGCTGATGTAAATGCTTACTAGTTAAGCACTCTTGCGTCTACTACGTGGCTGGGAAAACTTGGACAAGTCATATCCCCTCTCAATGTCTCAGTGTCCCTAGAGGAAATTTATCCTATACTTGTGAGATCTCCCACAAACCTACTATGAGGGGAAAGGCCAGGATACCCAGAAGGATGCTGGAAGGATCCGAGCACTCAACACCCAAGAGGTAGGCGAGGTCGTTTCCTCTACTGAGCCACAAAGGCTGGGACACAGGGAGAATTCCTCTCTGACCTCCAGACCCAGCAGGGCTATAGGTTGTAGAAGTCACACAGTGCACAATAACAGAGTCTATGTGAATGGTGCCTCTCAGAGTTGTGCAGTGCAGAACCTGTGTGGCTGTACATGGTGACCCTGTACCTGGCTGAATCCTGATGCACAGCAGGGCTCTGGGGGTCCTGAATGGCTCCCATGGGTGTGACTTTCCCTGTTTCCAGCAGCAGCTGGTGGCCAAAGGTCTAAGTGATAACAGCTTACATTATTGATCCCTCACCATGTGCCAAGCACGGCACAGAGTACATGCATATTCCCTTACACAGACCTTTTGATAGCCCTGTGAAGACAGAACTATTATTACCCTCACTTTCCAGCTGAGGACCCTGGGCTCAGAGAAGTAAGTGGCTGACCCACAGGGACACAGCTCATAACAGATGAGCCTGGGTTCAGACACCCAGCCCCGCTTTCATTCATTACACCCCATGCCTCGAGCATGGGCGACAGTGGACCCTCAGTAAAGTAAAAAGTGAAGAAAAAGCTGACTGTAAAATTACCACATGATACAGCAATTCCACTCCTAGACAGGTACCCAAAATAATTGAAAACAAGTATTCAAACAAATACTTGTACACCCATTTTCATAGCAGCACGATTCACAATAGCCAAAAAATGGAAGCAACCCGTGTCCATCAGCTGATGAACATATATACACGTGTGGCCTGTCCAATGGAATACTGCTCAGCCATAGAGAGGAATGGAGCTCTGACACACAGTACAACCTAGACAACCTCAAGAGCATTACGCTAAGTGAAATAAGCCAGGCACGAAAGGACAAATATTGTAGGATTCTGTTTATACAAAATGTCCAGAATAGAAAAATCCAGAGAGAGAGAAAATAGTGGTTGCCAGGGGTGGGAGGAGAGAGAAATAGGGAGCGATTGCTTAATGAGTGTGGGGTCTTTTTTAGGGGGTGATGATAAGGCTTCGGAACTAGATAGAGGTGCTGGTGGCACAACATTGTGAATGTACTAAATGGCATCGAGTTGCACACGATAAAATGATTAAAATGGTAAATTGTATGTTATGTGTATTTTACCCCAATTTTTAAAAAAGAAAAAGATGGGCAACAGTGGATCCTTCCTCTCCCTCTGGCTGCAGGAGGCAGGAGCCCCAGCAGCGGCAGCCACAAGGCCCCGACCATCTGTCCTTCCATCTCACATTCATTCAACGAGTAATTTCAGGGCATCCTTAGGGTGGGGCATGTCCCACATGAGGGGTGCCTGGTCAAAGTATGGGAGAGAAATGGAGAAGGGAGAAGTTAATTCCTCCCGGGGGCCCAAATGGGGAGGGTCAGAGATGAGGCCAGGCTTGAAGGCTGAGTTGGATCTCACTGAGGGTGTTTCCAGTAGACTCTGCCGGGCCGAGGGAAAGCTGAAGCAAAGGTGTGAAGGCTGGAAGGAGTGGCCAGGAAACCGGTCAGGGCTCCAGCTGGTCATCACCCCAGCATGGCTGACCCACTGGGAAAATACTGGATTCTGCCAGATGGTGGGCAGTTCCTGCCCCAGATCCCACCCCTGCCTCCCTGATTCTGCACCTCCGACAGTCCAGCAACTGAAGGGTTAACGTGAGCACTGCAGGAAACCTCCAGGTCCTGATCCAGCCCTGATCCAGCCCTGGGCCAGGGTCCCTTCTGGCTGACAGAAGCCTGATAGGCAGCTGTTGTAAACTTTCTGAACGTCATCCCAGAAACTACCTGAGGAATGGCCTATGAGTCTCTCTGGGTGGTGACCTGGAACTGGACCGTGTCTGGCTGTGAGTCAGTGGCTACTGGTACAGGGGTGTGAGCAGGAACGGAGGGAGGTCCCCACCTGCCCCTGTCTGGTTATCTGATGCTGCATAACTAACTGCCCCAAAGCTTAATGGCTTAAAACAGCATCCATTTCATTGAATCTCCCTATTTAGTGTATCAGGATTATAGGCAGGGCTCAGCTGGGGGCCTCTCCCGCTTCTCGTGCTGTCTGCAGAAGTTACTGGTTGGTTCTCGATGGTGCTCTCATGGGGAGGGCTGGAAGGCCAGTGTCTTAGTCTATTTTATGTTGCTATAACAGAATACCACAGACTGGGTAATTTGTTTTTTAAAAAAAATGCATTTCGTATAGTTTTGGAAGCGGGGAAGTCCGAGTTTGAGGGATTCGCATCTGGTAAGAGCCTTCCTGCTGTGTTATGCTATGGAGGAAGGCGGAAAGGCAAAGAGAGCACAGAAGAGAGAAAGAGAGAGAGAGAGAAATTCATCCTTTTATCAGGAACCCACTCCCTAGATCCCAAGATAACAGCATTGATTCATTCATGAGGGCAGCACCCTCATGACCTAATCACCTCTTAAAGGTCTCACCTTCCAACACTGTTGCACTGGGGATTAAGTTTCCAACACATGAACTTCAGGGAACACATTCAAATCATAGCAGCCAGGCTCAGCTGGGGCTGTCAATGGAAATGTCCACACGTGGCCTCTCCAGCATGGTGGCTTCAGGGTACTGGATTTCTTACATGGAAGCTCAGG